TATAAATATAAAAAAATTTTTCTATGTTTATAAATAAAAAATTAAAAAAAATAAATATTAAAATATAGATTATTATTTTTATTTTAGTATAAAAATAAATAATATTTATTAATAAAATAACAATTTTTAATTTTTTTATAGTTACACTAATTTATAGTTATATCTTTTTATAATTATTTTATTTTACTTATTTATTTATATAAATATAATAAAAAATCTCTTTATAATTATTTTTCTTTATAATTATCAAAGTTTGCTTTTTTAAGAGTAATAATATAAAAATATTTAATTAAAAAAATAATATTAATTTTATTATATTTTACTATATTTTTATAATATGTTAGAAATATATATATATTACTTTTATTAAAGCAAAAAAATTATTTAATTAACTCAAAATATAAATATATAATTAAGAATTTTTTTATTTTTATATTATAATATTTAATTTATTTATATAATAAAATAATTATTAAAATAATAAATAAAATAATTATAATATTTAGTTTATAATTGTTTTAATTTATTAATTAAAAATTTAAAAATAAACAAAATTTTTGATAATTTGAAATTCAGAAATATTATAATAATTAGTAAATTTTTTAATTTTTATAAATATCTAGTTTAATATTTATATTAATTAATAATATTATTTAAAAATTATTATAATTTTGTTAAAAAATTTAATTTTATTAATTTAAAAAATTCTAATATTTACAAGATTTTTATAATTTAAATTATTAAAGATATTATTTTTATTATAATTTTAAATATAATTATAATAATCTTAAAATTTATATGATTTTTATCTCAATATAACTAATTAATATATATTTTTTTTCAATAACTTTATGATTTTTTATATTATTTTTATATAAAAATATTAAATTTTTTAGTATTATTATAATATATTTTATTACTCGTATTTTTATTAAATAATATTATATATTATATTTTATTGGTTATTTTATTTATTTAGTTATAATAAATTATTATATATATAAGAATTTTTGCAATAATTTTGCAATTAGAACAATATTATCAAAAAATCCAGAAAAAATATGTTAAACTATAGCTTATTATCTTTATTTTAATATAAAAATAAAAAATATTTATTAATAAAATTGAAAACTTTATATAAGATAAAAAATTTAATTTTTACTATATTTTATTAATAAAATTATATATATAATTCCATGATTTTGAGAGTTATTGTATATCTAAATTTAAAAATAAAAATTACTAATTAATTTAGAAATATATTAAAAATATTCTAGATTTATTAATAAAAAGAAAATTTAAAAATAAAAATTATTGATTCTTATTAAAAATAAATCAAAAAATATAATATATTAATTAACAAATTAAATTATAAAAATCACTAAAATATATTTATAAATAAAAAATTATAAATATTATTAATTTTTTTCAAAAATAAAATATTAAATACTTCAAAATATATATAATATATATTTAATAAAATTTATCAATAAAATGTTTTTATGAAAATTTGAAATTTGTTTATTTCTTTTACAAACAGCATAATATTATTAATTCAGTTAAATAAGTTTAAATAAATGCAATCAAGTTTCAAATCTAAAATAAATCAACATTTATTTTTTAAAAAAATAACTTTGTAAAATGGATTAACTTCTTTATTAAGAAGTAAATACGAAATTTAATCCGTGGATATGATAGAATAGGCTCTTTCTGAGCATCTTCACGATTAAATTTTGTATTTACTTCTTAGTAAAGTTTATACATTTTATAAAATACAAACGTTTGATGTTAACTTAGGCCAACATGTATGATGCTGGAAAAATTACTATAAATTTTGATGATTCAGCGTCCTATTATAATTTAGTGATTTTGCAAATGATAACGATAACGATAACGATAACGATAACGATAACGATAACGATAAATCGCAGAAATGTTTTTTCCGCATCTTGTTTGTTGTACAGCGAGACCTCTAAATGCACCCTCGATAGGTCCCATTATTCTCAAAATGTGCACTCTAACGATAAACGGACGCCTAAATTTGGGTGTAAATGAGTGATATCAAATGACGTTTTGACAAGAGTCTATATATAATACATTTTCTCGAAGAAGATTAGTCTATTTGAGTTCTGGTTCAATGATGTAGCGACTTTTTTCAAGACATGTTATCTCAATATAGGAAAGAAATGATTTTGGCATATTAGTTTAGATAATGCAATATTGTTGATGTAGATTATTTTTTGATTGGCTAATAATTTTACGCAAAGTAAATTACGTTTGCCATTGTTGCATTACGTCATATTGGATTTAGCAAGATCCGCAATCTATCTTGCAGGTAGAATATCAAATTAACGACTTAGCATTAGCACATGAACTATTTATGTGTACATGTATATAGAAACCGAGATACTCGGACTTTTATGTTGACAAATATATTATATCGTTCACGATATGCTACGAGTTTTTTGCAGATCAGAAGGCGTGTTTGATAAGAAAATATATCCATGATAAAGTTTAACCACCAAATATTTTGACTGATACACTGTCAGTCTAAATAAAGTTAGTTCTTGTTTTATATGTGCCCAGATAAACTCTTATCTTTTTTCACGTTCTTAAGACACAAGCACACGTTTTTTGCGCTTAAACACGTTTTTTTGCGCTTAAATACACGTTTTTTGCATTTAAATTCGCCGACTGTGTAAATGTGCACTGTTACGAAAAGTGATCGTTGCATTATGTAACTCAAAAATTTGCTCGATAGAATTGCGTTCGTGAAAATGAAGTCGCACTAAGTTTTTTAATTACGCGCTCGCCTTAGCATACATAAGAATGAAAACACAATAAACGCCAACAAGATAAATAAGACGAATGCCAAATAAAAATGACAAGTTTTGGTGTGTGTAATAATAATTCGATAAGCTCATCGTGAGAAACAAATAAATACGCCAGCTCATTCAAGCAATAAAATCACGTCAAAAACATCATCACGATGGAGATTTCGATTTCGGTGTACAGTTTCATACACGCCATTTGAAGAATAAGTTGTTGTTTTCAAATTTTGGGAAAAAATAATTCGTGCACTCCAAAAACAACGGCATACAACCAATGTCTTTGTTAGCATAGATAAACATGCCGTGCACGTACAGTACCACCAAAAAGTATCGTCCGATTTTTAAAAAATGAAATTTCGATTTATTTCATTTCTGCTTTATATACATAAAAATTTTTTACCATTAACTAATACATTACCACCTTCTATATGGCTTCAATATCACCTCGATTCCTTACGGCATCGAGCTCACAGCCTACCCCAAACTAACACATTAAATTTTGACTACACTTTCTTCAGAGCATGTTTACAATCTTTTACACTTTAGAATATTGTTTTACAATGGTTTCTAGATGTTTTCTATGAAGTTAGGTCTGGGGGAACACGTTAATTGGTTCATAATCATTAATATTCCTATTTCGTGATCTCTTTAGAATCAGGGTTAGAGTCAAAGTCGGTCAACTGGAGGCGGTGTGTGTTATATTTACAGCCAACAAATTTAGTCCAGTGTATGTTCAAAAGTTGAAGAAAGAAAGGGGAAAACCGCCACATTTGAATTTATGTTGATGTTACACATCCAAATCGGGCGTTACTTTCTGTGGCGACATGAAAATCAGCATGGATAAATATACCAGTCCAGTGTAAGAATGAACTCTTTATTTTCAGGCAATAAAAAAATTCAAACAAACAATAACAATATAACAGATCAGAAAGATAAAGGCTAAAGTTACAAAATGGCGATGCATTAATATTATTTCCTTTCATCGCATTACAATATGCACGAAATTTCATCTCTAATAAACACGGCCCACCAATCATATCGGGTTGTAACCTATAAATTAATTAGTTTATTAACAAATACGCAAAACATATTATTCTGAACAATTTAATAAGCAAACAGTAACAATAAACAAAGGAAGGATAATGCTATTTGCATTGAATTCTTCCTTTTAAAAACGGGTTTCAAAATTTCATTATTATTTAGAAATGCGATTCCCTTTTTGACATAAAATACGTAATGTCTATTGATAACAAAAAAAGGAAATATTGATGACCAATTCACGTGATGAATCGTTTCTCTTTTACAAATTACTCGAAAAGGAGAAAATTCTAATGCTAACCCCAAAACGCATCACATATTATTCCAACATACCAATTAGAGAGGGAATTTCCCATGCACAAGGTGTGCATCTGGTGTGAATTTAAAGTTGGACCGAGGGTTAAATAAATCGGAACAGAAAGAATTTGGTAGTTGTAGTGTGTTAATTGATAAAGAAATGGATTTTATCGCAATTTTTGTAACGTTATACCCGTGCGCACAAAACCATATATAAGCACACATAACATATACAGTATCTACATGTATTTATTTGTTTATTTATTTAGTGAACTAGACTTGCTTTTTGCAGTATTATCAAAAAAAATACATTTATTTATTTATTTGTATTATTTTTTGCGACCTTGTATTTTTGTGTTTCTTGCTGCACAAATCAACCTTTTGCATTTTGAAAGAAGCCTCGTCTTTATTGACATACATTGTCTTTCTTTCTATTCTGATAGCATAACGTGGAATTAATCTTATATTCTACAAATAATAATTTCTATAATAAGAATATTATCGTTACCACGGATAAAAAAATAGGAAAAAGATATTTTCTCAAAAGTATATACGTAGACACAAAAAACCTATTCGCAAAAAGTACAACCGACTCAACTGAAACAGAAGTTTGCTGAATTGCTGGAAACGATTCCATTCTTTTTCTCCGTGTGTATGTAAAACTCATCTCAATAGTCAATAGCCATTTTTGGTTTAGACTAATAATAGTTAATAACAATATCTTTTGAAACCCCCCGACTTTCATTAAAAGCATCGATATCAATCAAGTAAAAGTAAAAATTATTTTTCTATCAATCATTCATTTACTTAATAACTTTTTGCCGACGAGAAGTAATGACGAATACTGGACTTCAATCAATTTCTGATCTTACTGCCTCAACATGTATAACAACTGGTGACATTCCACCGCCACTAGTCGGTTCCTCGACGACAGTGATAGGAACGCGACTGTACTTATTTGCTGGTAGACTGGTATCAACTCGTCGAATGACCGGTGATCTTTACATACTCGATTTGAATACATTTGTGTGGACCAGATTCGTAGATGAAGAGAACAAAGCACCAAAATACAGATATTTTCATTCCGCAAATCAATACAAGAACACAATCGTATTCTTTGGTGGGATGGGATACTCGAACTCGACTACGTCAAATGAAGAACTATGCGTGTTGGACGATGTGTCGGTATTCGATCTGGACACGTATAAATGGCATTACCCAGAAATTGTGCCTTCCTCGTCTTCACCGCGGCCCAGATACGCGCATTTAGCATCCATCACCGCTAATAAATTGGTGGTTGTCGGTGGACAAGACATGAAGAATTATTATATTGAGCAGATTAACGTATTGGATTTGGATCAGTGGTGTTGGACTTTTTCACGATCATTTGAGAAACATTGTGGTGCTTATCGATCTGTTGCTGTTAGTAGCACAAGTCATACAAATTTACCGTTGTTTGCGAATAGTGTGGGTCAATCTTTGATACATGGTGCGTCGAAAGAAGCTCCTGTCTCAAATAATAGCATTCATAATTCACGACCATCAACACCAGATGTAGATTCATCTCCAATTTTACGCCGATCATCTTCACAATCGTTACACTCGAGTAATATTGCAGCTGGTAATGGTAGCGGTAGCATTAAGAACAGTAGCAACAATAACAATAACAATAACAATAACAATAACAATAACAATAACAATAACAATAATAATAATAATAATAATAATGGTAACGTTCAGACGATTCGAAAACTACCTTCAGTTGGTGCATTTGGTAGTAGAGGTTCATTACGTCGATCCCCATCCCTCGTGAAACATCAACGTTCATTAAGGCGCTTGCAATCAGGAAACTCCCTTCATCGATTTTCATACACGACATACGTGACAGAAGATAATCCGAACCCAATTTATTTATACTCGAATTACAATTTTACCGATGTCAAACGTGAACTACAAGTCATTGATCCGCCAACAAAACCGGATTACCAAATAATGGATCACTCACCAAATATGACTGGCGCATTTCTGCCACCAGGTCTCCGATTTCCTACAGGTGCGATCCTCGGGCATCATCTAATAATCTCGGGTACTTATCTGACCAATACCATTCAAACATTCAGTATCTGGGCGTTGAATTTAACGAATTTAGTGTGGACGCGAATTGACACCGGATCATGTTTCACTCAAGGATCATGGAATCGGGGAGTTTTGTGCGAGGAGACTAACAAATATATCGTACTCGGTCATCGTGATCGTTCGCTTGTCGAAGATTATAACCATCGACAAACAAATTTCGATCATATGACAGTGGTTGATTTAGAAGCGTTTGGTGTTTATCAACCTCCAGCGGCGACAATGTCACCAGTTGCCCAGGAACTAGGACTTGCATTGATGAATGAACCAAATATGGCCGATTTCGAGATATTCACAATTGATAAACAGCGAATTCCCGTAAATTCAAATGTGTTGTCAAATAGATGGCCGCAGTTTCGAGTGTTGGTGGATAAACATGCGGACCTTGCGGCCGAGATTTGTTATGACGATGATACTCCGCGACCTGCCGACGAAGAAACTGGAATATTAATGTATCGAAATCGAGCTCTAGAATTTCCAGAGACATTTAATGTGACTTTAGCATTCTTACAATACTTGTATACAGATCATTTACTAACAGCACATCAGCATCAACCCACGATACTTGCACAATTACTTTTACTGGCAGATATGTATAACCTCGATAGACTTCGTCAATTGGCCAGACATGGTCTTCATCAATTATTGAGCATGGCAACTGCTGCACTGATCTACGAGACTGCTGCACTATCACGACAGACTGGACTTCAGATTCGCGCATTAAAAGTTATGATCGCTGCAAAGAAAATGTTGCAACAACAACAACAATCACCGTCTTCACCTTCAAATGATCAACAACAAAGAACACATCATCATATGAGTATGAGTAATGCATCAATAATTACCCGGTCATCATTGATCGATCAAGATCTTATATCACCAATGACTCAATGGTCAAATTCATCAAGTCCACCGCTATCAGCAGCCCTCGACCAGACAAGAGCATCATATTACGATCCATATGTCACGCATATGAACTCTCCTTATAATGGTGGTGGTTTTCGTACACGCTCATCCTCGGCAGCTTCCGCTCTCTCAATGTCTAATAATTTACGAAATTATTTACCAACGATACAAGATTCAATGTCTTCATCAGAGACAATCGTCGAAGATGGACAATCGACAACGTCAACATTAAATTATAGCTCATTAAGATCCACGAGATCGACGACTTCATTAAAATCCATAAGATCCCAACTCGTAACTTCGCCAAATGGTAGTGTATATGCTACTGGTGGTGTTGAGGTTCAACAACAGCAACAACATCATAATCCAGGATTTAGTTATGTTAATAACCGATTGACTAATTTGGCTTTCAATTGATGGAATCTCATTCTTTTTTTGAGAGCACTTTTGGAGAGGAAGAGAAAAGATTAATTGTATTTATTTAGTAGGGGGGCAATGGCGATAAGAATAACACATGTAAATTAATATTATTTCGAAAAAGTTAATGTTTAGCGGTTATTATTGTTTATGTGGGCGTGGATATGGCGCGGGGCATCTGTAATTTTGTTTGTCATTTTCTCATAATTTATAACCATCACACCCTCATTTTCATCCATCACACCCTCATTTTATTATAATCAACACCAAAATCATCATTAAAATTATCAAACATCAAAATTATTTGTCCACACTATCTATTTACTCATCTTGTAGTTTTACCATTTTTTATGGCATCTCAGCATATATCATTTTTTTATATATATACATGTACGTTTTAGGTCTGATGCATCCGCGATTTTTGTACATCTTTTGGTCTTGTTTATTTATTTATTTGTTATTGTTAGAACATTGTGTGTGCGTGTTTTATTATAGCAAACAAAAAGTATCGGTATATATCGGTATATATCTCTTTATTTATAATATAAAAATACTTTTTGATGTTCATCTTTGATCAAACATGATTATCTATAGAAATATTTATTTTGAAAGGTTGATTCAAAACTTAACGCGAACGCGTACATTACATTATTGGATAGATCAGTTATCGAAACTAAGATAGTTCTTATCGAACCTTTTATTGGATTCTGAATCCAATCTATCGAATTTACCTAAACACATCTCAACATTCCTACTAAGATATTCTTCAATTTTCCAATCATCATTATAACCTAATTTCATTTTGTCCAGTAAATCCTCCAAAGCCTCGGAAGGAGGAGGTGGTGGAAAAACTTGAATTTTCTTTATTCTTTTTTCCAATTCATCGAACACTTTGTTATTATGTGTACTCCTTTCGCCACAAGTATGCTGTCGACGCGGAATGAAGGTACAAGAATTAAGGTTGTTCAATTTGCCTAATCTTTCGATATATTTGAACCAACAAGCTTGTAGCTTTATAATGGTTTCTTTGGATAAATTAATGAATTCTGGCATTTTAATGTATTCTGGAAGTTGATCCACTACAAGGATAAACGATTCTTTGTATATTTGTGAAAACGAATGTGTTTCGGCAACTACCAACGAAATTATGAGATTTTCGCGGAAATGTAATCCCAGAAAATCCTTCCCATAATCGAGAATACTTTTAATTATGTATTTATCGGCGAGTTGCAACAATTTTGGAATGGTTTGCCAGTTCAACCGTACTTTAGGGGATGGATACACAAAATTCAACAACAGTTCAAGTTCACTCGCGGATTCGGTCAAGCTGACCTCGGGAATACTAGTGTTGCCACCGTCAGCTTTCTCGAACATGTCATTAAAGACAACGGACGCACAAGAGAGAATTCCACGATGTACTTTGAAGATTGTGTTTTCTGCCTTAAGCAAGATGTTCCCATCTTCAAAATAATAAAATTTACTATTCTCGTATTTTCGAATTTCAGTCATTTTTCTTGGGAAAGAAATACAAATTTACATGTTTTAATTTTACTAAGCAAGTTAGGCATGATATCTGGTCGTGTATGTCGTTATAGTCTGTGATGACATTCGAGTTCCTCAATTTTGTGTGAATATTGTGTGAATATAAATGTTCAAACATTGGTCGAAATAAATTATGCTACAGTCCTCGGCGAAAATAATAGCGGTGAAATTTGTAAAAGAGGAAATTTTTAATAAATAACTTTCAAAAATTTTATTTTTGAAATGCTTCTTAGTAGGCGAGATACCCTCAAAAAATTAAGGCATCGAGTATTCTCCTATGCCAATCGTGAATGAAAATGTCAGCCCTGTAAAAAAACGGGCCGTTTTTGATCCGGAAAATTCCCGATTTTTGAGTCTGAAAATTTCCAGACTTTTTTCTGATTTCTAATATCTGATTCAAATCCAGAAATTCAATGGTTTTGTTAACAAATTTCTGGAAAAATATCTAATACTTTCTGGAATATAGTCAGAATATATACAAGTTAGATGTGATCTTTTTTTATTTTTTCCAGAATATAATTGGAATACAGTCAAATCTCTCTATAGTCATCACTCTTGTGAAAGTAAAATTTGGTGACTATAGAGGAGATATGATTATAGAGGAGTTTTTTTTTACTATGTTTATATGTAAATGGAAAAGCAAAATAGGGTGACTATAAAGAAGTATGACTATAAACAGATGTGATTATAGAGAGATTTGACTGTATATGTAAATTGAATGTAACTTTTTTTTATTTTCTGGAATAAAGTCAGAATATATATATAAGTTTGATGGATCTTTTTTTATTTTTCCAGAATAGATTCAGAATATAAGTGAAAGTTAGATAAATATAAAATTATATTTATTATTATATAATTATAGATTATGCTCTAAATATTCTATATATTTATATTTGAATGTTCTATTATTTTTATAATAATTATTTTATAATTGGAGAAATGTCAGAATTAATGGTAGAAAAATATCAGAATTAATGATAAAGAGATATCAGAATTGTAGTGAAAAAATGTCAGAATTGATGATAAAGAAATATTGAAATCAATGGTATAAAATGTTGGAATTATAGTGAAGAAATATTAGAATTGATAATAGAGAAATGTCAAAATTAATGATAAAAAAATATTGAAGTATAAATTAAAAAAACTGGAATATTAAGTAAAATAATATTAAATAAAATAATAAATAAAAAAAGTTGGTATGGTGAAAAAAAAAATCAAAATAATAAATAAAAAAATCAAAATATTAAATCAAAAAAGTCAGAATAAAATTAAAATAATAAATAAAAATAAAGTAGTGATAAAAAGATATTTGTCAAAGCCAAATTAACAGAAATCTAACTTAAAAAAAAGCAAATGCTACAAAAATTATTATTCAGATAAAACTAACAATTTCTCTTATTTATTTTGTTCATTTCTTTTTTTTTTGAATACTTTTTAAAATTCTTTTATTATTATTATCACTTCTTCTAAATTTCTCTTATCTTTTTCATATTTCTGTCTAGTCTTTACTTTTTGAGGCTTGCTTTTGATCTCTAATAAAAAAGAAACAAAAATAAAATAAAAAAAGGAATAAATAAAAATTTAATAATTATTTAACTTATCTTTAGCTCTTTTTTTTTGAAATAGTATAATTATTATCATTATCATTATTGTCATTATTTGTTTCTTTTTTCAGTTTTTCTTTTTTCAGTTTTTCTTTTTTCTTATTCATTATCATCTATTTTTACTTTTGGATGATTTATAATAAAAAAATAACTAAAATACAGAGGTCTCCCAGAATATTGTGGACACTTTTTAAAATACAATAATGCAAAAACTAATAAAAAAGCAAGATTTATGATCCTAAG